TGTGTGTGTGTGTATATATATATATATATATATATATATATATATTATGTATGTATGTGTAAGTAACATGTTGAAAAGAAACAAATAAAACAGAAACTGAAATAAAAATGTGACCTGCTGTGACTTGTATTGTGTTTATGATAAGTGCAGTCAGGTGAAATTGAAACTCAGCAGTCATGGGATTTACAGGAAAGCCACTCCCAGGCAGCTAAGTTTCTGTTTCCAAGAAGTGGCATGATATAAATAATTAAGTCAGCAGTGAACTCTAAGGCATTAGAAAATAGCCTTTATAGTGTTGACCTGAATCAACCGGATTCAAAGAAATCCCTGAACCATTATATTTTAAAAATAAACACGTACATAACAACAATAAAATGTTCGTTTAGCTTTCCTTTTAAAGAATGCCCTGTTTTGTGTAAACCGGTTTAACCACAGTATAATGTCCTTCGTGTAAGAACTTGTTTGATCTGTTTGTTTTCGAAACTTTAACCCATTTAGATCAGAAGGACAAAAATATCACTGTGCTTGCTTTATGCTGTAAATGCAGCCATAAATGACATTCAATCAAAAATGTTTTTTCTTTTTCTTTTTAAATGTCCTGTACAATAGATACTTGTTTCTGAACAGTATTAAAAGCCAGAATGAATTTGTATGTTCTGTCAATAAAACTTGAAATCATTTGTGTGTTAATACAGTCGTTAACACAAAGCATTGTAGATTTGGGTGGTATGTCTTTAATATCTCTGTTGCCAAGGGTACAATGTAAATGGATCTCCCTCTGTGGGATTCAGATCTCCAGCTCAGATCAGATTTTAATTGCTGTGCCACACCTTTTTTGGTGTAGAGACTAGAGAGACATAATGTACTAGGTTAAATGTCAACAAAAAAACGTCGCTGAAATACTGCTGTTGCAGGCAAATGTTTGAACATGTTTATGCCGTATATTTTTATGGTTAGAATTATGCCATAGTTGTCTGCTTTGGGTGGCAGACTGGCATTACTCTGTTGGGTGCCATATCATACATTTCTGCTTTTTAAAAAATAAATATTTCAAAGGAATATTTAGTTTTAAAAAAGCAGAAATGTATGATATGGCACCCACAGAGTAATCCTACAAAAAACCCTCATTGTAATGGATGCAAGGTCTGATAGGGTTACATGTTGGATTGCGTGAGTGTATTGTGTTATGGAAATTTAGTTCCGTGGTATCGTGGTTTCTATGAAAATGAATTCACTCTAAGCAAATAGACCCAACCCTCCCCCTTCCATTACGTATGAGGAAAGATAGTGCACACTTTAGTCTGGTTTAATAGGTTTTGCAATCATTTGTTGTTTGCAAATGCTTTAAGCTTTTTTTATATGACATTTAGTTACTGTTACCATTTAGTAATAAGTTACTGTTTAGGTCAGGCTGAAATGTAACTTAAGTTCATGTAAATGTACTGACAGTGCAGTAGTTGCAGTGAGATATGAAACATTATGCAACCGTCACAAGGTTCAATGTGACCTCCAGCTGTGCCGTTTTTCACATGAACAATATACACTGAACAAAATTATAAATGCAACACTTGTTTTTGCCCCCATTTTTCATGCGCTGAACTCAAAGATCTAAGACTTTTTCACCTCATGTTGCAGCATGATAATGCACGGCCCCATGATGCAAGGATCTGTACACAATTCCTGGAAGCTGAAAACATCCCAGTTCTTGCATGGCCAGCATACTCACCGGACATGTCACCCATTGAGCATGTTTGTTGATATGCCTCACCTGTGAGGTGGATGGATTATCTTGGCAAAGGAGAAGTGCTCACTAACACAGATTTAGACAGATTTGTGAACAATATTTGAGAGAAATAGGCCTTTTGTGTACATAGAAAAAGTCTTAGATCTTTGAGTTCAGCTCATGAAAAATGGGGGCAAAAACAAAAGTGTTGCGTTTATAATTTTGTTCAGTGTAATAACCTTGTGAAAGATTAAAAAAGATATTGCTGTCACAAAACAGTGCAGTACGTTGAATAAATAATATATTGCTCATCTTATTTTATGAGGTTAACATTTTCATATGATTTTCATAAGGTATTTACATAACATGTTTACCAGGAAGTACAGACAGCCCTTATTCCAGGAAGCCAAGCCCTGATGATAGATTGTACCTGCCCAATGTCATTACATGAAACCAAACAAACAGCTGATTAATGTCATAGAAAAACATGGTCTGAAAAGAATGAATGACTATAGATGTGTTTGTGCTTCAGGGATAATAAGACAGATGTTTTTCTCATCACCTTATTTTTTCGCTACAGTCAACTCTGGCTTGCTCACTGGTATTTAAAGACATTAATACAGATATCCTGTTAAACACGGACAAGTACGTGCTCTGTAAAACTCCTTTGAAATCAATTGTATTATGAAAAGTGCTATACAAATAAATTTGACTAGGCTTAGTCACTGTGCATGATGTCATAGCAAACAGTTTGTCTCAACTTCAAGTCAACAACTTTTTCTCAGCTTTAACATTTTTAAAATCTTTGCATGAAAAAAATAGATATGTGTGTGTGTGTTACACATTATACAGTACATTTAATTTATATTCAGTGATTGTTAAATGCTGTAACACTTCAGTTTCCAATAGGGAATAGGTCTTCAAACTTGCTTCTGGGGGCTCACTGTCCAGCAGAGTTTAGCTACAACCCTGATCAAATACACTTGAACCAGCTAATCAAGGTCTTCGTGATCACTTGAAAAATCACAGGCATGTTGTGCTGAACCAGGTTGGAAATAACATTTCCAA